GTTCCTTTGTCCAAAGTGTACTGAGCAGAACTTGCAGGACTGTAGTCATTGCTTTGTATGCTGCGAGTCAGGACACCGAGCAGTGGGATCTTTAAAGCGGACCAAAACTCAGGGAAACTGGGATCGGTCTCTGTCAAGGGACAGCCAGAGGCCGGCGCAGAGTCACAGTCCCAGCCAGTAAGGTCCTCCTCTGCACAGCTCACCACTGAGTGTGCAAGGCGTTGCAGTAAGCTAAAAAGAAAGCAGCCAAAGCGAGACCAGAGAAAGCAACAGGTAACCTCTTGCCAAAGTTTAACACCAAACAGCTGTAAAGTCCACCTAGTTGGAAAGAAAAGCCTCCTCAAGTGTTTGATTGGTGGCTATCCAGTGACAGTGTTATTTGATTCTGGCTCACAAGTGAGTTTAGTGGACAGACAGTGGGTTCAGCGGTTTTTTCCCAACTATCAGGTGCGACCCCTCCAAGAGCTGTTAAATGATGGACTTGAAGTTTATGCGGTTAACGGACAGCAGTTCCTTATGATGGGTGGGTCGAACTTACAGTCACTCTCGCTGGTCACGAAGATCCCAATCTTACTGTGCAAGTCCCTTTCCTTGTCAGTAAGCTGTCACTCCCTCAGCCCCTCCTGGGAGCAAACGTGCTTGGCGCCATTATCCAAGCACAAGAGTCAGACCGAGAGGCCAGTGCTTTATTGTATAGTCTCCTACGCAAAGCTTTTGGTACAGACGAAGAGCAAGTGATGGCTATGGTAAACTTCATACAAGTACCACAAAGAGCAGGATGTGACCCAGCCACAGTGAGAATTGGGAAGAGCAATGTGACCATTCCTGCTGGAAAAGCAGTCCAAGTGTGGTGCAGAGTACCCCAAAGTTTTGACATTTGTGACCCCCTGGTGCTGTACGAACCCGATGAGAACACTGCCTTGAGACACCTGAGTGTTGGGGAAGGGCTCCTTGAGATCAACAACCATCAAAGGCCATTTGTTAAGGTCCCCATCTCTAACCACTCCAAGCACGAAATAATTCTACCAAAGAGAACAGCCCTGGGTACTATTCAACATGTCGCTAAAGTTATTGAGACAGACCGACCCACAAACACATCAGAGCTGACTCAACCCACAGAGAGCCCCATCACCACAGCTGAGGTAAGCGCAGCCACCTCTGTTTCTGAACTGTCCACTGAGTCATGGCTGCCCCCAGTTGATCTTAGCCACCTGAGTCCGGATCAACAGGAGTCAGTTGAAAAGGTGCTAAGGGAAGAGTGTGAGGCGTTCTCTCGTAGCAGCACAGACATAGGCTGTATCCCTTCAGGGAGGCCGGTAAAGTGTGTCAAGGCCGTCCTGTTCGCACCTTGCACAGGAACTTGTTGTTACAAGTAAACGACTTGCCAGTGGACATTATCCAAAGTCAGGCTACAAGACCACACAAGAGAAACAAGAAGTCCACCGGAAGACCAATGACACCAGAGCCGAACCCTGACACAACTGACTCGGAAGAGGGTGAGCCATTCTACTGGCTTGGTGCACCCAGATATCCTCAAGGGGGGCATTCTCCAGTCACACCAGTTCCAAGTAGAGCGCAACAGAGCTCCGGTCCAAGTGAACTAGGACAAGTCTTAAGGGCTTGTGTCCAACCTAGAAAAAAAAGTGGCATGGTTCCGGAAGAGGATCTAATCGTGTTAAGAGACTCAGACCTACCTCGATCAGGAGATGCCTCAGGTTCAAGAAGAAGTTGACGTCACTGAGTCCAGTCCTGATCCAGTAGAGGTTCCTGACCCAGAGCCGGAACCCAGGGTGGAGCCAGGGGATGACATCCATCCAGAGCCACCGCCTCGTCTTAGGCAGTCCAGCAGGCAGAGACGTCCCACCACATTCTTCACCTACCCGTCCTTGGGTCAACCAGCCTATCAGGCTCATCCTGCGGTGAACACCATCAACGTCCAGCCTTCGCCATATCCTTCCCTGTACTACCCTCTTCTCTACTCCCAGCCCCCCTACCCCTCTCCCCTTACCCTTAGCCCTTACTTACCTGTTTCATATGTTGTTCCTGGCTATTGAATCAAACAGAAATCTCAGGAAGAAGGATGCCTGAATGTTAAGGACACCTGGGCAAGAGGAATATTCCAGGGACTTCTGTAAAGAGACTTTGTTAGTTTAAAGTTTTTTTTTATATAATTCAAGTTAAGTGTCAGGAGCCACTTTTCCTGTTGGGGAGCATGTGGTGAACACAAATGTGCTACCACATTTTGATAAATTTTATTATTTTTAAGAAAAATATATGCCAGCAATTAAGACAATTATTATTTTACATTCATTGCGTGTAGTCCATAACAATTGAGGAGAGTAAAAGTGAGAAATAATAAGAGGAACTGTTGACACTGTAGTCGTTCGCCCGCGGTTGCCTAGAGACTCTACCTTTATTTGTACAGGTCAGTATCGTCTTAAAAATACAGTGTATGAGGGTTTTGTGCCTCGTTCTACTTCGGTGTTTACTGAGAGTTATGTTGACACCGCCGATGTAACCTTAAGTGGGGTTTAGTTGCAGCCACCTGGTAAAGCCGAGCCGCGCAGCCCCAAGTCTCACGAGAGTTACCGCGAGAGTTTGCCAGCCCGCGGCATGTATTTAAACTTGGTAAACTCCATTTAACAATCAAATATGTGTGTGTGGTGTTCCAATTTAACTGTAAAGGCCCTGACATCAGATTATTCGAGTTTAAAATATCTCATATACACTTTATGGTTCAAGTGATGTGGAAATGTTAAGAATAAGCTAAGAATGCATGTACATTTATGTTGTTACATTGCAAAGTAATACATTCAGCTGTGTTTTGTCTAATCTAGTAAGATTTATGCACTTATATCAGATTTGTGGATAAGCTATTTTGAGTTTGCCCTATATGTGAGAAAGAGCAATAAGATGTGTATGGTATCTGCACTGCTGATGTAAATGAGTGAAGGAATAGTGTAATTAACAGTGTAAACTGGAGAAATGTAATAACCATAGATACATATATTTGCCAAATGCCTTTTATTTACCTTTTACAGTTATTGAGCATATCTGACAAGTGAAAACACTGGATGTAAATTATATTTGTTGATCTGAAATAAAAGACGCAATTCAGGAAAAGATACGAGTGCTCCTGTGATTCTTTCTTTGAGACTCTACCTTTATTTTTACAGATTTGCATTCTTTTTGTTATTGTGGTCTTCACATCTGGGACCCGTAACAATGTTCCCCAAGCATAGCTATCACTTTTGCTCCAGCATGCTGGGAATGGCATTGTTTTTTAGCAAAATGTTCTTGTTGGTGGTTGGGAAAAATGCTTTCATGTTTTGGTGCCATTCTTTATTCATGGCTATGTTTTTAGGCACAATTGTGAGTGATCCCACGCCTATCTATGAGACGTAACCCCACACACGAATAGTCACAAGATTCATTATTGTTGGCATGACACAGGCCTGATGTTAGAGCTCACCTTTTCGTCTCTGGACAATCATTTCTCTGGCTGTCTCAAACAATTGTAAAGGGGCTTCATCAGAGAAAAAATGACTTAACACACGCCTCTGCAGTACCTGTAGTTTTTTGAAAAACATCAGTCTCACTCACACTCACACCTGCCTGCTGTCTTTCCTAAGCAACTGAATAACTTTATTACAAGGATGGCAAACTCATTTTACACTGTGGGCCACATACAGCGCCCTTTCATGTAAAGTGGGCTAGACCAGTGAAACTCTTTCTATCAATCTAAAGAAGTTTAACTACACATTTAAACCCTGCAGAAAAAGAAGTTTCAACAGTACATCTCTTTTTGTTCGTGATAAAGAAATGCTGTTTTGGTAAATGAAAGAAATCTGTCAGGATCAGTCTTTGGACTTAAATTGTAAGAAATTAGAAGTCTGGTAGCTCATTGCCCAGTCTGTCCTAAAATTATAAAACATCTTGTTAATTAACAAAAAATGCCCATTTTAATAACGTGAGCCCATGGAGAAAAAAAAAATTCTTTTGTAGACAGTAAAAAAGCTGGAACATTTCTGCTATTTCAGTTTAGCGTGGTATTTTCATAAGCTGATAAAAATATAGAAAATGCAGTTGAAAAAATAAAATGTATCCTCTCATTGACATTTTCCAAAAACTATCCAATGACCAGATTGGAGTCGTTGGCAGGCCAGTTCTGGCCCCCTGCCTTGTGTTTGAAACCCCTGCTTTAGGAGATGGTACTGGCGCTTGCTGGGCTTTGTAAGGTGCCCTGAAAATGTATTTATAACAACTGAACTTCTCTCTTTAAAGTTCTTCATGCTCCAATAATTGGTTGATTTAGGTGCAATCTTACTAGCATCAGTATCCCTGGGAAGCTCTTTTTATGCAAAGCAGTGATGACTGTACATGTTTTCCTGCAGATAACCATGGTTAATAGAGTAAGAGCAATGACTTCAATAACCACTGCCTGTTGTTTTATCTCAGTCAGTTTAGCTTGACAGATCTTCTCCTCATCAACATTCTCACCCGAATTAATGAGAGGATCACTTAAATGATGTTCACAGGTGCTTTTGAAGCAGGGCTGATGGACTGTGTGGGGCTTTTTGCATATGTTATTGTTCTCTAAAGCACCCTGAGCAGCATGTTTTGATGGCATCTCAGTGAAGAACACTATATGCAGTGGTTGTGCATGTTTAAAAATGCAATATTTGCACGTGCAGTGCAGTGCAGTGTGATACTCATATAAGGTAGCACAAAATGTAATACACTAGTAACTAGTAACTTCATGAAAATAGTTTGTAAATCGAAATAAATACACTTGTTTTCTGCTTATGATAATGATACTGAAAGTACTAATGAAAATAGCAGCTGTGTTAATAAATAACAGAATTTCATTTGTTATTTTTCTTTCCTTTTTAACTTTACTTTTGCTTTTCTTTTTATCTCAAAAGGAACAGCCTCTCATAGCGTGGAGGAGTATAAGAGTCGGGGTGGAGTTTCCACTCAAAAGTCCAATTGTTATGAAAGCTTTCAGGAAGCCTGGACCAAGCCAACCATCATAAAAGCAGGCACTTCAGCGCAAAACCCTCAGAATCACATCGATCTGCACTGAAGTCAAAGGCTAAAGAATCACTTAAAATGGTGAGTGGAAGTTGAATCAGTTTAAATTCCATTCTCTGCACTGCAGATTTATTCAGTTGTATCTTATAGCCTGTGATTGATAGTATACTATTAATGTATGTTAATGCATCTTTCTAACTTATTTTTTAGGAATTGTGCTATGGATTATTTCAGGCACGTGCATCGTGGATCCAGTTCACTTTTATCTGCTCAAGTATGTGCAATGCAGACATCATCCCACCTGCAAGTTTTAGAGCCTGATAGAAACTTAACATTTTTTGCATTGTTGCAAAAAATTTCATCTAATGTGTATCTCTGTTCTGTATCCTTAGTGCTGTGCATGTGGACTAGTGTTGAGTCCTGGTCTTACGTCTATTCAAACAAATCAATGAAATGGGACGATGCACGTAATTGGTGCAAGGAGAGCTACACAGACATGGTGGCCATCCAGAACCGGGAGGAGATCGAGCATCTTAACAACTGGCTGCCCAAAAAAAAGGGCTACTACTGGATAGGGATCCGTAAGATCAATGATGTCTGGACCTGGGTAGGAACCAACAAAACTCTGACAGAAGAAGCAACAAACTGGGCAAAAGGAGAACCAAACAATGGCAAAACTGGACAAAGTGTAGGAGTCAGTGAGGACTGTGTGGAGATGTACATTAAACGAGACCAAAATCCAGGCACGTGGAATGACGAGAGGTGTATGAAAAAAAAGACTGCTCTGTGCTACACAGGTAAGCAACAGTTTGGGGCTTATATTCTTTATTTTAGCTGCCTTAGATTTGTTATTCTGGTTCATTATTATCAAGGTAATCTACTGATAAAACATTTAGAAATAGTTTATTTGATATATTATTTTTACTATGATTAGCAAGGCTTATAAAAGCATGTCTGTTTTTTCCAGCGGCTTGTAAGATTGACTCCTGTTTGCATGGAGAGTGTGTTGAAACCATCAACAGCCACAAATGTGATTGCTTTGAAGGGTTTTTTGGAGACAAGTGTGACCAAGGTGAGAAAACAAAATGACAGCGTAGTTTAAATACATATTTTAAGTCACATAAAGGATTTGATATCTAACTGTGTGTTTTATTTGTTGTCAGTTGTGCAGTGTAACAAAAGTGAGGTGATTGTGCCAGATAAAGGACATGTAAATTG